CCGAAATGGCTAGACCGATTGTGACGGGATTTCCACTTGCAGATAGCTGATTTTATAAGGAGTAGGGCTACTTTCATTTTAGAAAAAGAATTAGGGTTCCGCGCAAAAATATAAAAACCCTAACACGCGAGTGAAGTCGCGGGGAACAGCTAGTCATAACTAAATCTGAACCAGGCTCTCGGCGTGTTTACGCCATTATAACAGGATCAGATACTAAGTGCCAGTCGACGTGCGCTGTTAGCTGTTTCAATATAAACTAACGCCTACCGTAGAGAAGTGATGGAAATACGCAGGTAAGATTTTTATCGCTAGTTTTTACACTTTGACAGATTATTTAGTGACAAAAACCTGTAGAAATCGAATAACATCAATGCCGAAAGTTATTCTACCAAATGTTTGCCAGAAGTGTTCATTGATGTGAGCAAAAACCGACCGAACACAGGGCTGCTAGGGCTAATGCTTCACCATGACAACGATCACGTTCATTTAGCGCTTAAAACAATGGATTTCCTGGATAGAAAACCGGTTTTGGGTTTTGGCACTGTGTGACTTTTATTTTATTTCCTTAAATAAAATATCAGTGGAAAGCGATACAGTTTTTATTGCCGGGAGATGTGCTAGCAGAGTTCGAGCATTCATAGAAGAGGTATCTGTGGTTATTTAAGTAGGCTGTGTTTCCTGATCTCTCTCCAGTCATGTCGGTTTGCCGTTCCATCGGACTATGAGAGTGAGGGAATAGAGAGTGCACCTGTGCATACACTTGCACTCGCTTACTATAATCCTGTCCTGCGCAGATGGCTAGTCGCCGTTGAGACTGGCCGCCGCCGTGACCAAAATATGGTCTGGAAGACATTATTACAGCCTTTCTTATCTCTCTTGGGAATTCATAAAAAGAAAAGTCGTTAAATTAAAAAGAAAATCTGAAAATCTGCAATACATTTATTCATATAATCTCTTGTTACATTTATCTAACTCTAACACAGTACAAAAATATTTGTACACATTTTTTGACAGTGCCTAATAAATACAATGATTGTAAGTACAATGAATTTACAGAACGTAATTACGATAACTTTGTACATATTCGTAAAGTGCAGTTATTAAAAGCATTATGCAATAAATCTTCAACATCCATTAATACATATTATCTACGATTATATTTTAAAAATAGTCTTTGGTATCTAAAAAAACATATTTTACGTAAGAGACACATCTTACCATTTTATAGGAATTCGTTCCTTACTGATATAGAAATACTTCTAATAATTACATTATAACTTCTTCAACAATATAATATACCAAAACTTTAATTTATTTGTCAAAATTATTAGTAAATCATGTTCGCAATATTGATAAGATATTTTTTTTAAATGTAGAATTCTAAACATCCATTTTGTTAATAATATAATTATATTGCCATTATAATCTGAGACCTACAAAGAAAGATAGATGGAGTATCGCGTACATTTCAAGTGACGCCGACACCAAACCATATTCAACCTTTTGCAAGAAGATTCACTCACGCTCACATATTATGCATCTGAAATAGTTTTTAACCAACATGGTTCGGATACATATGAGTGAATCTCATGAAGTTAAGGGTGGTTTTAGCGTAACTTTAAATAAACGTAGCGCTCCGTCTATCTTTCTTTGTTGGTCTCAGATTATAATGGCAATATAATTCAGCTCATGTCAGCAAGCTTTATTCCAGCTGCAAAACTAATTGGTTGGCTCGACATTACTACGTTCGCTCAGAATAGCAGCGTTATATACATAGCTATGCTTCGTATGGTGAATAAAGAAAACTGGACACCCATTTTTACTGGTAATGAGACATTCCTCTTCGTCATCAGGACACATACGTGTTTACTATCAGTTGGACTGTATGCTCGTTTGTCAGCCTAACTTAGTTCCTTCAAAAAGTGGACGAATTAATGCCTCAGTGGTAAGCACTAAGATTCAGCAGTATTTCATACAAAAAACATAAATCAACGACATGTTGGAAAAAAACTAATTTTATCGCGTTTAATTTTAACTTTTTCTTATACCGACGTTTCGGGCACATTACTGAAATGTGTTCTTTCACGCGTGTTTTTGTGGATCTTTCGTGAAAGAACATATCGCTAAAGTGAAACACCGACGAGCCTAGAAGTCTGCAGTATGTCAACATGTTCAGGATCGTTCCAACCGTTAGATAGATCACAAATCATAGCAAAAGAACACCGATTCCTACCAAGGATGATTCACGAGGCTATTGGAATTAAAACACATCCTGATTTCAATACAGAGAATGACTATGTGCTACATCTGCTTGGGATCACATAACTAATTAAATTAAATTCAAACCCAAGCATACTACTGCAAGACTTCAAGATACAGTAGAGCTTACAGCTCGTTCTGCGTAGATCGAGCACATTTTACTCAGACACAATAATCTATAATATAAAAATGAATCGCTGAATGTGTTGCTAAGCGCAAATCTCGAGAGCAGCTGAACCGATTTCGCTAATTATGTTTTTATAATATTCCTTGAAGTACGAAGATGGTTCTTATGGAGAGAAAAATTTAAAAAATTGCCTGAAAACGTACAAAAACAACACTTTTCTATATTGCCATACAAAAAAGATTCGTAATAATACTTAAAAGTCAATTTGAACTTTAATACCATACCATAAAGTTTAATTGTTAGTGGAGGGGTTCCGGGAAGGCAAAACAAATATAATTATTATTTTTTGACATAATGCAATTGTTGAATTATCTACTTTCTTTTTTCTTTTTTTATCTTACTCGCTGACCCTGTGTCACAAATGGCCGAATAAGTGTTAAAAAAAATTAAAGAGTCGACTGTTAGACGGTACGAAGTTCGCCGGGTCAGCTAGTTAACAATAAAAATTTCAAAATAGCCTTTGTTAAATATGACATCATAATATGCCATGTGTGCTTTAAATTGCATGACATCTTATTAAGTTATCATTAGTTATAAAATTCATTATTAGTATGAATCACAATATAAACATTATATCAAGTATGTATCTATATTTCAACATCATGGATATACTATTGCAAGGATTAAGAGGAAGAAAAAATTCATGTCCAATATCTGTAATAGTCATTAAATGGCAAGACGATCTGATGAAACGTGCAGTCATTGACGCAGGCGGCTCGGTACCGAACTTTATGGCAATCTTTGTGGGAGGTATATGTCTCAGTCCAGCCTATGCTTAAGTCCTATGCTGGGAACTATCTAATTATAAGTTACGTACTTATGGCTGTTACAACAGATGAAAAAATCAACAGCAAAAAAAATTATACATAATGTTGACTTCAACTAAACTATGTACGTGATCATCGGGCACGAGTAACACTCGACACATTTATTTTATATTAGTAGGCATATTTTTATTATAGTAATTTCTTATATCTATGTTACACATCTTGTAATTTTTCGTTGTTTATATTTATTTGTGATCTTTAATATGTTTAAAAAGATTTATGCAATCCTAGTTTATAGTTTCAAATACTAATACCATAACTGACTACGCTACCTATAAATGTCATGGCTTTAGTAAAAATATAAAACAAAAGACACTTATTTACATAACTTAGGTATCTTTAGTTATTAATAAGATTCCTAAATAGAAGTTTTTTACATAGATTTAGATTTTTTTAAATAATTAATGCAAATGCTGATTTCGAATATTTTTTAAATTATACAACGTGTAACAAAAACCCTGTGGTTCCCGTTAAGTAAGTTATCAGAGTCAGTATTCAAACGTGAAGAAATAACTTTTATTCAAAAAACTTGAACATTAAAAAATTTAATTTTACTTAATTACAAAAAATTAATTTGTTAATTTTATGTGATTTTATTACCTCTTATTGACACGAGCATCGGTGAAGGGGGTTCTTTCACAATCCTTTTACTCTCCGGATAATGCAGAGGTAATGAAACCACATACAATTCGAAAAATTTTTTTAATTAAAATATTTTTTTTAATGTTCAAGTTTTTTGAAAAAAAGTTATTACTTTACGTTTGAATACTGACTCTGATAACGCACTTCACTGGAACCACAGGGTTTTTGTTACATGTTGTATAGTTTATATCACTAAGATATTGTATTATATAATTATTATTATTTAAATATGGGACATTAAAGACCTTAAATGCGGAAACGTTCTTTACAACAAATGAAACAAATTTTATAAATATTTATACTTGTTTTGATTTTCAGTTTTAGCCTTAGTGCATTAACTGTTTAATCTTTTATTCAATCTTTATTCACGTGATCATGAATAAAGTTACAATGTTATACTACTTTTAAGGTTAAGATTTATTTACGCTAAAGTCCTTAAGGACGAAGAATAACATAAGAATAAACAAACCACAAGTAAACAATTAAACATAATGTTATGTTATTTTGTCTAGAAAATGAAACAAATATGTCTCTATGATCAGCCTCTTATAAAAACATAATACTTTTATTTGGCAAAGTCTCTAATAGAGGGCTAAGTAAGTATTTTTGTTATGTACTTACATTTCATAAAGTTCTCTATTAAAATGTCATTATATTTTCGTGCTAATGAATAAATTGTTTAAGTCAATATAAATGATAATTACCTAAACAAACATTCAAAAATAATTAATTAAAAATAAGGCGTGGCAAGTGAAAAAAAAAAATTTAAGGTAATATTATAGTAAATTCATTTTTTTTTATTAAATGCGGTGAAATAACTATGCTTTTTTCCCACAGAGCATAGAATAATTGCCCCAGAGCGCCGGCGGTTGGCCGCCTACCGGCCCGCTCTGTATTTTTTTTTAAATGATTAAGTAATAAATCTTTGAACTTATATAAAACAAAACATTATGACAAACACATTTCACATTTCTTATTTTAGATACATCATATTCATCTGGTGCCCGGTCCGCTCCCGTCTCGTTGCGTGTATGCAGTTTTTATAGCATGACGTCATCAGCGGGTACATAAGCGGGCATTCGTTGTCAGTCGCGAGATGAAGCCAGGACGAGAATCTGTGTGCGGCGGTTATCTGTTTGGGCTCTGGGTATACTGCTGCTCCCAGAACGGTTCAACATCTGTAATTTGATACAAAGTAAAAATGAAAAAAAAATCCAGTTGGGCATGCCCTACGCACATAAAAAATACGTATAACATGATTATACGGATTTTTTAAAGTAGGTTAAATACACACAAGTTTTCACTAATAACCTTATTGTACTTCCAATTGTCCTATAATTTTAAGTCAAACTTCAATTCAAAAAAAAGTTTGAAAATTCTAAAAGGGTACGACTCATAATGCTCATATGATCATCATATCATCATTCAGGTCACTCCATAAAGTCCAAGACGTATTTAAGTATAAATATTACATCCTACTTACTACTATTACTATTATTACTACTATTATTAGTACTACTATTACTTATTTTGTGCTTTTAAAATATTGTAATAAAAATCTCTGATTATTATTATAATGTAGTATGTATGAATATTGGTTTTTCGAATATTGTGTATTTGTACAGCGATCTTTTTGAGCCGCTTAAAACAACCAATACAGTATCCACTCACGACGCCTAACTGAGTGAGTACTAAGTGAGTGAGTAAGGCAGTTTCTATTTATAAAAAAAAAATTCATACAAGGCTGCTAAAACACTGAATATTTCGACATTTCGCAGCCGAAGAAAGTTTAATAACTAAACTAACTAAAGTTTATAACTAAACAAAACAAAATTGAAAAATGAGAGTGCCAAATACATTCAAAGGCTTCATACATGATAGATGAAATAGATTGAGTTGAACAATTGATATTTTCAAAAGTTATCGTGTTTGCGAAGCTACGCGGACTTGATAAATTCACACCATAAGCCACTAAAACCCCTTTTTATGTAAAAATAGCAATTAATCGGTTAATAAAATATTAATAAGTTCAACAATCATTTCTTTCTGACAATGTGCTTTTTATATCGTTTATATGTATAATATGATTCCATCCATCCATTACAGCCATTCACAAGTCCACTGCTAAACATAGGCTTCCCCCAAGGAATGCCACAAAGCACGGTCCTGAGCCACCTGCATCCATCGACTTCCTGCATATCTTACCAGGTCGTCACTCCATCTAGTGGGGGGACGCTCAACACTTCGCCTGTCGGTACGAGGCTGCCACTCGAGAACCTTTTTTCCTCATTGGTTGTCGGTTCTTCGAGCTAAATGGCCGGCCCATTGCCACTTCCGCTTACTAATCCGTTGGGCTATGTCGGTCACTCTGGTTCTACTGCGGATATCCTCATTTATGAGTTTATCACGCAGAGAAACTCCGAGCTTAGCCCTCTCCATAGCTATATCCATAGACTATATCGTCGGCAAATTGAAGGTGAGTGATGTAATCGCTATTGATGTTAATACCGTATCCTTTCCAGCCCAGAAGCTTGAAAACATCTTCCAATGCAGCGGTGAAGAGTTTCGTGGATATTACGTCACCCTGTCTTGCACTTCTCTGAAATTCGATAGGTTTCGTACTCTGGTTCTGTACTCGGATAGCCATCGTAGCCCTACTGTACAAGCACTTCAGCACTTCGATATACCGACAGTCAAATTGGCACCGCTGAAGGGACTGCAGCACCGCCCAAATTTCGACGGAATCAAAGGCTTTCTCATAGTCCACATACGCCAGGCATAGTGGCAAATTGTACTCCTCGGACTTCTGTACAACTTGCCGAAGGGTATGTATGTGGTCTATGGTGCTAAATCCCTTTCGGAAACCGGCTTGTTCGGGAGGCTGGAAGTTGTCAAGTCTGCGCGCGAGACGATTCGTAATGACTCTCGAAAACAGCACGTAGACGCGGCTCAGAAGGGAAATCGGTCTGTAGTTCTTCAAGAGAGCGTTATCACCTTTCTTGAAGAACAAGACCACCGCACTTCTGCTCCACGCCTCCGGTGTAATGCCACCATGGAGGACGGAATTAAAGAGCTTCTGAAGGACTTCAAGTACCGGTTTTCCACCCGCTTTCAGAAGCTCCGCTGTAATTCCATCCTCGCCTGGGGCCTTGCCGTTTTTAAGGTGCTGGAGAGCCATTCAAATCTCGCTCAGACTGACGTCCGGGATATCATCGGAATAATGTCGGATAAGACTCGCTCTTGGATCGTTACTCACACTTGCGTGTCGCTCCAACGATGACGTGTACAGCTGCCCATAGAACCTCTCAATCTCACTCAAAATCTCAGGTTCCCCGGAAACGATGCTGCCACATTCGGTCTTCAGCTTTGACAGTTGGCTCTTTCTGGCAGACAGATCTCTGGCAAAGACTTTGGAGCCATGATTCCGCTCGATCGCTTCTTCAATACGAGTTGAATTGAAGTTGCGTAAGTCCCGCCGCATGCATTTTGAGATCTGTTTGTTCAGTCTAACAACCATGAGATTAGTGAGTATAATATGATTGCTAGATACTATTTCATGCATCAAAACGTTGGAATCTTAATTTTCAGGCCTAGCAGAACATACCTGCGCACTTTGATCCTACGGCATGCAATATAGAGAGACTTATGTAAGTGTTAATAATGGGGCCCAGCGGCACTAAGTCATTTATTTGATGTGAAAAATCAAGACGTTCAGGTATGTTAGTATAATATTACCTGTGCAATTAATATTTTGATGCGGATTATCAATAACAGTTCAATTCAATCAATTCAACTCTATCCTATTTTGAAATACACCGTTAAATGTTCTTGATTTGGAATAATAGTTTCGAATGTCGTATAAATTAAGGGGGACTATCATCATCATCTTCGACCTTTTTAAGTCGTATTTTGACCATAGACCTTTCCTGGAATGTGCTAAATTGCTTATGGCAAAGGAGTGGAATAAATTGCCGATATTTTTTCTTTTTATTGCGTTTACCAACGGTTGCTAACACTAATACATCAAATTAGTACAATTACTTAAATGTACTAACAAAAGTGTTACAATTACGTTAAGATAAACTCGCATCTCGCATGCATTATAAGTATAAAAATACATAAACTGAAAAAACAATAAATTGATCCTCAACTAAAAAAAATATCTATTAGTAAGAATAGTAAGTACTACATAAACTAAAAAAAAATTAATATATTTTACTTTACACTTTTATCCCGGTTTCAAACAAGGATTGATACTCATTTCGACTGTATGTTTTTTATGTTTGTTACCTCATAACTTTTTTCTGGGTGAATCCATTTCGATGAATCTTTTTGTTATTTGAAAGCTGGCGCTTCACATTCGGCCCCATATAAATTTGATCAAGGTCTGACCAATAGTTTTTGAGTTATTCTTAATAGTTTATTTTTGCGTTAATCGTTGCAAGTTTGATCTAACACAGCTCTTATTTTCATACACATATGTATATTTTATATTTGTTCTGACATAGATAATATTTATATGTATTGTGTATATATGTAGTGTATGCGTGTATATGTGTATGTATGTATGTATTTATATATGTATATATTGAGTGTATTTAAGTATTATGTCTATGTATATGTGTGTATATGTATATAAAAATAATTTATATTGAAATCGGTTGTGCAAAATTTTTAATTTTTAATTATATCAAACATTTACGGAAAGACAGAGAATATTCTGGATGAGTCAAAGTGTATGTCGACTTGTTCGATGTATCCATTAATAATTTTATAAAATCTGGCATAAGGCGAATTCTTTCTTCTTTTTAATGGTGGATTTCTGTCTTTTCATCCGATAACAACCTGTGGGACTTAAAGGCATGAGTGAATATATTTTGCCTTTTAGGGTTTCATCACAACTTACCACCAGGTAGTGGTAATCAAGCACTATTGCAATCCATTAATTCATAGTTGCTCATAATAAATATTTAACCTTTTATTTTTAATATTAATAATAATGTTTTTCAAAATGACGTTAATAATAATTATTTTTGAAACGGTAGCAGATTAGAAAAAATTACATTTGAATAACAAAATTTATTTTTGTTATTTAAATGTGATCCATGTCGAAGAAATAATCAAATATATTTCATTTCATTATACAAATGCATGTGTGTGGGTAGTGGCGTCGTAAGAAAACTAATCTCTTCTTCTTATCTTGTGTATGTAATAAAAGACGTCAACGGGAAAACAAGAAAGATTTGTGGCTTTCAACGGATTTCAACCATTCCATATATATACGTTTATATACATCACACGGACCAGTGTAATCCGGTACTACTAATCCATCGACCAATTGCCGGGATAATGGCAAATCTTGCTCACTGCGGCAGAAGCCGTTTAGGTGGCAGGACTTTTTTTTACCATCCTCTCATCTATTTCTATCACCAAATAGCAGTGTCTTAAGGCTATAATTACAGGCTAGGAGTCATTCCATCTGCTTTTTTTTATAGAGTAAGGATGACAAACGAGCACAAAGTGCACCTCGATGGTAAATGGATGCTGTGGACAAAGACATTTACATTTATCCTCGATTAAGGACAAAAATGTAGACAAATGTGTCACCTCTGAGGACTAAGATGAAAAGCCTCGTTTTCAGTAAAAAGGGTCTCCATTTCTCTACACTCACAATACGAAAGCATTAAGCTGCAATTTTACGCTGCTGGTATTCTGTGAGAGCGTGGTCCCTCCAAAGTCGAGCCGACCCATTCGTGCCACAACTATACTAACGTAGCAGCAGCATCTCTAACACGTAAAAAAGCCTCTTGTTTAATATTTTTTTCTATGTTAGAAATTGGCTTTAGGTGTCCGTGGTCTCTAGTTCATTTATTAATTTATATAGGTTTTCTTCGCACACCAACTACAAAAAGGCAGACTTAAGGCAAGGCATTCTATACCAGCAGTGGGAACTGCCCACTTACAATCAGGTGGACTGTGAGATGTTTGCTCACTTTGATATTATCTAAGAAAAGCCTATATCCAGAAAAGACAAAGAAAAATAAAAAATCCATATTTACCGTTGCAACAGAATGTGACCGTCTTGCGTGCGTTGAACTGAGAAGATCAGAGTTTGCGGTAGAATCCGAACGAGATCGAAGCGTGCCTCGAGCATGTCGCTTGTATAGCCTTCCACACCACAGCCATCGATATGGAGGAACTCTCCTGGAATAATTGACGGTTACTACATTAGTTACATACTAATAGAAATCTATATATTTATATATATATATATATATATATATATGTATATATATATATATATATTGGGTAGATTACATAGAAACATAAGCAAAAAAAATTGCAATTAATTTATCAATCTATTTGTTGTCAAGCGTAGCAATTGTGGCAAGTATCCCCCCTATGAGAAAATCTAAAAGAAAGGTCTATGTTCATCAGTGGACTTTAATAGGCTGTAACGGTAACGGATCCTTCAAACAATTTCAGGTAATAGGCATTCCTTACAGCCGTCAAAGGTTTCTTTCTTAGGAGTTGTAGGTTGCGATGGCCTGCGGCGTTGACTTATCGTGAGTTGAACTATTGAGGTAAATTCTAAATGAACTATGGCTCTGAACTCATTAATCTCAGTTTAGAAACTTAGAGTATTGCCATGTGAGCCATAGAGCAGTAAAATTCAACAATAAGAGAAGACAGAAAGTTCTCATGTAGTGAGTTCCTTTAGTTTATTTATAGGATAAGGGTGACAAACGAGCACACAGTCCACCTTATGGTAAACGGTTGCTGTGGCCCATAGACATCTACATCTATCTTCAATTAAGATTCAAAATGCAGATGCGTTGTCACCCTTGAGGTCTAAGATGGAATGTCTCATTTGTAGTAAAAAAGGTCTCCGGTTCTAGTGAACCAGCGGGTGAAGTCAGCCACCATACGAATTACAGCAGCTTTAAGCTGCTTTTTTACGCTCGTATTCTGTGAGAGCATGGTCCTACCCCGATCGAGTCGACCCATTCATGCTACAACCATAATGTAGCTGCAGCATGGCTCTACCACGTATGCACAAATGCCGAGCAGTAGATATAAAAAGGTTGGTATTTATATTGCTTATTGTGGATATGAATAAAATACTATTGAGAATTTTGTTTACGTCTACAGTTCTAACTTCTCGAGAGAGCGTATTACAATTTGTTGCCTACGCATACATACATCTGCTACTTTATATGTACACAAGGATTCACAATCACCTAACTATATTGGCTTTCGAGCATGTGATTATGGAGAATCGTGAAAAATGTTTTGTTTTATTATAGACAGAACAATTTGACGAGAACCCTGTATCATACAATTTTCTTTATAGGATAAGAGGGACAAACGAGCACACAGTTCACCTGATGGTAAGTGGTTGCTGTAGCTCATAGACATCTACATATATCCTCTATTACAAATCAAAATGCGATGCGTGGTTGACAACGCATCGCATTTTGATTTGATTAAGATGGAATGCCTCATTTCCAGTAAAAAGGGTCTCCGGTTCTCTACACTCACCAGAAACACAGCAGCGTTAAGCTGGTATTTTACGCTAGTAGTCTGTTAGAGCGTGGTCCTTTCCCGGTCGAGCCGACCCATTCGTGCTACAACTATACTACTAATATAACTGCAGCATGGTTCTACCACGTATAGAAATATATAAATTTGTAAAATCATCAAATATGGATCAACCAGTGCAAAAACTTCCAATTTAATTATAATGTTGTTTAATATCTATCTATATCTATCTAGTAGCTAGCGATGAATTGGTCTGCTAAAGCAAGTATAATTAAAAACTTGTCCCAATCTATCTGGCTACCCTCTGACATAACTGTTAAGCGATACTATTAAAAATAATCGGATAATCAGATGAAATGTTTACACGAGTAAAATCTAAATTCATTCAGAACGCCACAATCAATCATTTGATTTCTTATTTGGTCTGTAATATATCTTACGTAGCTGACAACTTCCTATAATTCAAGAAATGTCACTGTAGTCAATACCAACTGGATTATCTATTAATCAATCAATCATAACCTATACGTTATCTGTATAAGTTGGGTCCTAAAATGCGTCCTTATATCACGCAAGGGCATTTGAAGACATTACATGTTCATATGAATAGATTTTACTATTAAAAAAGTTTCGGCATTATGGTAATGGCGTTAGAGAATCCATTATGCCATCTCTTATCGTCGGTATAGTAACAATCCGTCTACGACAGGTGGAGGTATGAATAGTTTTTTTGATTTTTTTTAAAATAATACGAGTAGTAATGCTAATAGCATTACTATTATTTAAAAAAATTAACTGAAAATTAACTAACAACTTTACTGATATTACTTATAACCACTTCTGATAAGCTTAAAAAGCTTGTGTTAGAAGTGGTTCACGACAGTAGTCGAATGGCGGATTCGAACCCACGACCTTTCGAGTACGCAGTCCGCGCCCTGCCATTCTACTGACGCTTTTAATAAAATAATAGTATATTATGCTAGATGTAACATACGCAAAACGGGCAGGGGGAGGGGCGTCAAAGTTACAACACCAAGTCTGTCTATTTGACTATCATAACAATTTTACGTGGAGTGCCACGCTGCAGTTTTCCAAGCTATACAGAGATGCAGCACGAACGAGTCAGCTTAACCGGAGTAAGACCACGCTCTCACAGCATACGAGCGTGAAACATTAGAATAATGCTGCTGTGTTTTGTACGGTAAGTGTAGAGAACCAGAGACCCCTTTTACTGGTAACGAGGCATTCGATCCTATTCCTCAAGGGTAAGAACGCATCTGCATTTTAATTTCAATTGATGATAGATGTAACTAGCTATGGGCCATAGCATCCACTTACCATCAGGTAGATTGTAGCCTCGTTTGTCACCCTTATTCTATGTAAAATCATGCCTTACAAAAGGGGGGTAAGTCCTTCAGTAGACTACTCACGAGCTGATGAACTAAAGAAAAAGATAAGCAAATCCAAACAACGTTTAAACTTTGCTTTTATAACTTTTAAGTTATCTTAGAATGTGTAGTATTTTCTTACCTTAAACTGGTGTAAATATGCGGTGAAAACATACAGCATATTAAGGGGTTCGCTGCGGAATTCAGCGGTGCTAGACTCTGGATAAGAGTAGCTATCGCTAAATTGGTCTGCGTCGGTGGGATGTGGTTATAAACTTGTAATAAATCGAACACGATGTATGGCGACCAGCACAAGACGAACACTGTTGAGATAAGAAACTATATTTAGTATCGATAAAATTACATGTGGTAGAGAGAAAAATGTGTATCTGATTGGGATTAGTTCATGAGTTATAAAATAAAAATAGATTTTAGGAACTATTTTACTAACTATTGACGTGAAAATCATAAAACAAATTTATTTATCAGCGTCCCTGTGTAGTCGCGGCGTAAAAGAATATATTATTCCATATCATTCCGTGGATGTCGTAGGAGGCAACAGAGAGAAATAAAACAGGAGATCTTGATAACAGCTCAAAATAATAAAAAATACAATTGTTAACCTGCCTGCCAAACGTGGCAACTATGACAAATAAAATAAAACTATCCCTCCTATGATACAATCTTTCGGGGAGGCCTATGTTTAGCAGTAAACTTTTATAGTGTAATGGATGGATAGAGGGATAGATATAGGTAATATATTAAATATATTATGATTATCGAATTAAAAAAAAATTAAAATATTGTGTTCATAGCAAAAGGAGTGATGTATTTCAATTTATTTCTGAACATTTATTGCAATAGGATAGTTTATCGATAATTTAGAATCTTACTATTACAATAGGACCGCAATAAAGTTTTTGACACAAATTTATTATTGTTTACGAACTAAGATAAAATATTGGATACCTTTTTCTTTACTTCTTTTCACTTTTTAGTATTTATGATAAAACAACTTTTAAATAAATAAACGTGATAAAAAGTTTCAAACGATCAACTGCAAACTTTTTCTCATCTTAAAAGGGTAATGTAACCATTGGGAATTCGTCGTAACATTTTATTTTCGAAATTAATATCTTTATTTCCTCGTGATGTTTTTCTTCACCACCGAGCTCGTATAGATAAGCTTATAATATAACATTTTGATAAATCTATCAGTTGTGCAGGAATAGATTCTTTTGATAAAGGTCCCAATTTTTTCATAGGGAAATAAAACAATCTTTATAAATTTTCCTATGTAAACATTTTTATCGTCGATCCATAAAAGACCGTTTACATTAAATATAAGATATAGTTTAGTTTTGAAAATTTGAAGATTCAAAGCTTATGAGCGCCACCATTAATGCCTGGTGCATGGCAACACTAGTTACCACTAGCGCCCTCTAGTATCGAGTAGCAGAACTAGGAGAGTCAAGATCCTTCTAGAAATTTCCATGGAAGAACTTTCTAGAACTATCGACAACTAGTCAGTCGGGACCGGTATGTACTCGAACATTCTAGAAAGTTCTGGAAAGTATCTGTGGCCCTATATAAGGCCGGTATCGACTGCGACCCAGTCAGTGTTGAATTGGCGATACAAGCCAATACTTCGAAGTGATACAACTGCGAACTAAAGTGATCAGTAGTACGATTGTGTTTTGTTATTAGTGTAGTTTTAAGTTATAATTAATGTTGTGTAATTAAAGTGTCAATTTTGGTAATTAACTCGGTAGTTTTTAATTGTCTCGAACTCCAAGCTCCTAACAATAGCTTAATATATATCTTTTAATATTTAAATATTAAAACAACAAAACAGCAAACATTACAAATTATCTGCTCAGTGAAAAAAAATCCTTTTTTGTTTTTTTTTTAATCTAATAACCTTAGCCTTACAGGCCTGTTCTCTTGTACCATGAAGGCGGTTAATTACAAACACATTAATTGCATAGATTACAGCCAGATCCGGAACAAGAATTTGTAGGCCATACAAATAATTTTTTCGTGAAGGATGCGAACCCGCGGCCTGTCAGTGCTGCGGGCCAAATGCTTAGCCTGTACGCTACGAGCCGTATTTTTATGCAAGAAACAATTCAATAGCTAGGGATAAAACGAAAATAATACTTGGTAAATGTTTCATAGATCTTAAAACTAATAAAACTCTCTTTGAAACTGACGAGTGAAAGAAAACGAAAGCAACAAAATATCGTTAAAAGTTTACGACTTAAGAACAAGATGCTACAAATACAAATGTAAATAAGATAAGGCAGGAAGCGATTGAAAAACTGCTGTAAATTCAATCCCAAAATATTTTGATCTTGAACTGAAATAAGGTCGTTTGTGTTACAAGTTTCAAAATATGACAATAAATGACACGTACATTATTATTCATTCAATCACTATACCTACTAAAGTCCACTGTGTAACATAAGCCTACCCGTAGATACCTCATAAGGCGAATATTCGTTACAGTTGCCATGCAGTTGGCAAGCGCGTTAGCAACCGCAGTTTTTTTATTGTCATTAGAAAGTCGCTGCTTCCCATGTCCTATTTTCTACCGACTTCAAAAAGGAGACGGTACTCAATTCAACCGTATGTTTTTTCTTATAACTTTTTACTGGGTGTATCGATTTCGATGATTCTTTTTTCATTTGAAAGCTGGTGCTTCACATGTGGTCTCATATAAATTTGATCAAGGTTTGGCTAATAGTTTTTGAGTTATTCTTGATAATTTATATTGAAGTCGGTTGTACAAAATTTTTAATTTTAAATTATTGTTATGTTTTCATCTGTTGCTTTATGACACCCACGGACAATATGAGGTGTAACATTTTTACACCGCCACTACACAGACAAAGGACAATCTACTGCAATTCATTTGATGCTTATTGCTGATGGAGTCTAAAAACAGTTCCCCGATGAGATCTTAGTAATTAAAATATTAAATAATTTTGATTTATTATCAAAACTCGCTACATCAACTAGATGACATTTGAGTATTATTAGTTAATTTAACATGTTGTAATCTTACCGAAAACAATCACGAATGTCATTTTTACACTTTTGATTTTCGCCCTCGGTATTAGACCCCGGGAGCTGGCGCGTCTTGAGTCAGGATCACATTCTACTTGACCTATAATATTATAAATATTTATGATTATGATTTTACTAAAAAAATTAAATCACAGCTGTTTCAGGTGATTTTCGGGTATCCTTAATGGACGCCAAAAGAACACCTGTCGTACCCTTAACTATAAATTTATTATTTTTGTAAAAATATTGAAAGGATTCTATTAACATTTTAAATTCAAATTTTGTAACAACGTACACAGCCATTTTTGACAAGTGCCAATTATTCTATTATATTTCAAAAAAAATTATGTGTTTATGAGCAATATTATGTCACTGTCTCAAATCTTTGATTTAATAGTTACTTACTATAATTTAAGTAAGATATATATTTAAATAGATACTCAAGCCAAAAACTTACGAACCATTTCTCATTGTTTTAGTTCTTCGGGAGTTAACGGGCGGACTCATTACGACAGCTTTACTCTTAGTCCAGATGGTCAATACTATAACAGCGTAACAAGCAGCAATAGCCAATGCAGGGAGCACAAAAATCATCACTGATACTAAGCTCATCCATATTTGCCATCTTCTAGGTGTTCCTAAATCAATCCAGCATTGCAGCTCTCCTAAAATTAAGTAACCATTTCAATGTTCGCAATAGACGGAAGAGAATTGCACTAACCGTTATTGTTTCGTTTTTCAAAATACTAATAATATTTATAATACCTTGAACTTCCTTTACTTCATACAAAATAAGAAGTGGAATTGAGAAAATTATGCTTATGAGCCATGCTGATACTATAAGTCCTCTTGCACGGTTCCCTGAGAAAAAAGTACGGAATGAGGTTTCAAATACATTGCAACATGTCTGTAATTCCTGAGAGGGCAGGAAGAGCCCAAAGAGCAGTGTGTTACTCGGACCAAAACCAAAACAGAATAACTAAAATATGGCTTTCAATGAAAAATTGTGAAAGAAGTGCTAATATTAAATATTTATACATAAATAGCGAAACACTACTGATATAACATAATATTAATTAGAAATTACTGCCATCGGGTACATTGCCTTTAATTATGGAATGTCAATACACAGATCGATGACCCCAAGCAATGTAAACACTGTAATTACTCGTAGAAATATTTGGTTGGCTTACCATAATTAAGGAGGTACACAAAATTTTCTACGAATAATAAAATGACTTAATTAATAATTTGGAATTTTTGTTTAAGATATAGTTTGATCAAAGATCTCTATTCTTTTTACCACGTTTTTATTAACTCATGCTTTTCGTTTTCTGTTGTTCTGAGTGGAATTTAGTAATTGATTTAAAATTTTTAAACTAACTTCCCGACGAGCTGGAAACTTCTAATTTTGAATATAAGTAGCTCAAATTTGGATGATAATGCAAGAATTTGATGAAAAAAAGTAATACATTTTTTTTTTATTTTAATAGTTCGCTACTGAATATTATAGTAAAATAATTTTATAATAACAATTTTGGCGTACATCGAATATCTTTAAAATTTAAAGTTTGTCTCATTGGATGGAACGCCGACATTATTTTTCAATTAGCTTGAAAAATCGTTTTTATTGCTCAAAACACAACATCTTTTTATTGACTTTGTTTTCTTTAATTGATATTGTTTATTGTTCATTTTATAAGGAATGGCGCTTGTTTTATTTTATTTAGATCATAAAAAATAACGGCTTATCTGAATCCCCTCTACTTACGATAGAGATTCAAAGAATTTACCAAACAATTGTTACTAAACTTATATACTAAAATTGAATAGTATTGTTTCTTATAATTTTATCATTAAAAAATCTTCAAAAATCCCCTCCTTTACCAAATAAATCATACACTTTTGACTTATATATACTCATTCTTACAACTATACGTGCAAGTATTTTTAAAGTATTTTTTTAAACTGAAGTGAGTGAGAGAGAGAGAGAGAGAGAGATTGCTTGTGGTCTTACAGTCCACCTTATGGTAAGTGGCTTCTGTTTTTTTTTATATAGAATAAGGGTGACAAACGAGCACACAGCCCACCTGATGGTAAGTGGTTGCTGTGGCCCATAGACATCTACATCTATCTTCCTTTGCGGATTAAAATGCAGATGCGTTGTCAGCCATGAGGGCTAAGATAGAATGCCCCATTTCCAGTAAAAAGGGTCTCCGGTTCTCTACACTCACCATACGAAATACAGCAGTGTTAAGCTGCTATTTTACACTAGTATTCTGTGAGAGCGTGATCCTGCCCCGGTCGAACCGACCCATTCGTGCTACAACTTAATATAGCTACATCATGGCTCTACCACGTATAAAATACCTGCGCTATTTTGAATCCAAGAAAGCTACAGATACGTGAATGCCTCAGAGATTGTTATTATACTCGCTCTTCATATATTCGTCAGACCAGACCACAGAATTGCAAACACTACTATTATGCGGTAGAAATAGTCAAGAAGATGGTACCTAGCCAGACGGAATGCTAGGCAAAAAAAATCCTACCATCTAGTAGCTATAATATAAGCTATAAACTATGTGTGTTTTCTACGTGGCAGAGACATACTGCAGCTATATTAGTAGTATAGTTGTAGCACGAATGGGTCGGCTCGGCCGGGGAAGAACCACGCTCTCACAGAATACCAGCGTAAAACAGAAGCTTAATGCTGCTGTGTTTCGTATGGTGAGTGAAGAGAACCGGAGACCCTTTTTACTGGAAATGGGGCATTCAATCTTGATCCTCACGGGTGACAACTCATCTGCATTTTGATTAGTAATCGAGGATAGATGTAGATGTCTTTGGGCCGCAACAACCACTTAGTATGAGGGCGACTGTGTGCTCGTTTGTCACCCTTATGCTATAAAAAATGTGACTATGTTGAAAAGAACACTATCGGGTTATCCCTTTTACCTTTATCACGCTAAATGTCAACGTTCAGCGGAGATTAAACATTTTTAAAGCCAGGTGATACTCTGTAATTTTGTTTGTACGACACCTGTTCACTATGTAACATAGTGAACAGGTATCGTATTATTTGAATTAAACTGACGATAAGAAAATAAAACGTGTCTGTAACCACTGTATAACCAAATCAAAATTACTGTTGGTTAATTTTAAGTAAAATTGATTACATTTTTGTCGTTTATTTAGTTTTTTAGGGTAGTTATTTATATATCATTAAAATATACAATATTTATTACACATAAATTATTATACAGTCCTATTTCTAGCTGTTGAATGCCAAAAAACGCTGACTGCGTATATAGTAATCGGTTAAGATAGAATTACTAAAATATATAAAAAAGATGATTTTATTTTGAAAGCGACTCGAGCTAAAGTAGACAAGAGATACGACTTCGATAGTAGAAAAAAAACCCCGTATGTAAAAGAACAGATTTTTTTAATTTAAAAATTCTTATCAATTCAGGAAATGTCAAAAACCTTATAATTAAACTCTTAATTAGATTACTTATAATACTTAAAAGTGAACTTACAGCTTCCAGAGAAGTTCATAGGATTCGTTATTGCGTCACACCGATCTATACTTAGAGCAACCAAGACGTATGTGGAGGCGTACATAACTACGGCCTGAAACAAAAACGCAGATTTAAGAAGATTGTTTACGTAAAACACAGAGAGAAACACATCAGCAGTTAAGGTTTAGGCCAGCGCATTTTATAAAACCGACTAGGATTTCTGTTTACTGTAAGAACAAATTCAATAATTTTGTTTTAGTTTTCATGATTTAAAAATATTTTACGAGAAGGATCATTTTCAAGCGACTTCATAAAAAGTAGGTTATTAGTTCATCGTAATATTCGTTTGTGTCTGTTCAGCGATAATTCTTTACCACTTTGTCCGATTCTATTTATACTTATACTATACCTTTTTGTTAAAATTAAAAATCGAACTTAAAAAGTTCGATTTTTATACCCTTTAAAAGTTTCATAATTATTTTATTTATTTTATTTTATAGAATAAGTGTGACGAGCGAGCACACAGTCCACCTGATTGTAAGTGGATGCTATGGCCTATAGGCATTTAAATTTTTCTCTGAAGATTAAGATGGAATGCCTTGTTTTCAGTAAAAAGGGTCAACGGTTCTCTACACTCACCATACGAAACATAACAGTATTAAGCAACTGTTTTAAGCTGGTATTCTGTGAGATCGCGGTACTACCCTGGCAAGCCGACCCATTCGTACTTCAACTATAATATAGCTACAGCGTGGCTCTACTACTAATAATAATTATTTTTACAAATGATAAGGTTGCCAAATCGAGCTGGGCCTATGGCGCCGTTTACCTTTTAAGGTAAACCTCCCAGTGATCATACGATCGACCTTTTATTTGATTGTACACATCATAATATCATACACCTACACATAATATCATACACGTGCCATCTATACAAATACACAATTTTGTTATGTAATAAATATCAATTTCATAATAATATTTTGTGCTATTTTTATCTGTTATGAAAAGTTAAAATAATATTCCTAGAAATTCTGATTCGCTGTAAAGCTCTCTAAAACTTTTCATTAATTATGTTTTTAACTTAACGAAATTTTAAATAAGGTTACGGTTTAATAATCTGGGGTAATTCTGTCGATTGCATTACAGCTTTTCGGGGGCAGAAAAAGTGCAGAGCACAGCAATTAGATAGTTGTATTTCCCTTTTTCGCAAACATGAAATATTGCCGCTCCCAGCATTATAAATTTACGAAATTTGCGTCTTTGTTCACAAAAATAGTAATTTATTTGAGAAACAGAACGACGTCATAATTAGGAATAGTAGAAACATACATAAATTATGTGTACCAAAGCAAAGAATACAACTAACTAAAAAACATTATATTGTATGACAATACATGTTTACAACAAATTGCTTGTTTGTTTCAAAAAATGAATAAACCAATCTTTAAAAGTAAATTACTTCAATTTCTTTATAATAAATGTTATTACTCTATAAATGACTTCTTAAATGATAAATTTCAGTTGAATTGTAATAATTTAAATCAATCTCGACTTAATTTATTGACATGTTTTAACTAACAAATATTATAAATTAATTGATTAAGATTTTTGTTTTTATATTTTTTTTTACTTATTATAAGCCAGTGCTTGACCACAATTCCACCTGGTGGTAAGTGGTGATGCAGCCTTAGATGGTAAATTGCACTGTCTTAGGGTAACAAAAGCCTATTCACTCTTGCCTTGAAGTCGCCCAGATTGGATGGAAAGATAGACGTCGGCAAATTATTCCAGTCCTTTGCTGTACGCATTACAAAAGACGAAGCAAACAGTTTAGTTCTAATGCGCGGAATATCGACAACAAAGGGGTGAAAAGCCGCCGACCGCCTGGTTGTCCGATGGTGGAAAGGAGAGGGAGGAATTACAGCATGTGGTTCCTGCGCACACTCACCGAAATGCTGACAAGATTGATTTCAACCAAGTCAAGGTCACCAATGAGCCTCTTAGCATGTCTCTCCACGTAGTCCAATGCTGCCAGGTGGTGTTTTGCAGCACCAGCCCATATGTGACAGCAGTACTCCATGCACGACCGGACTTGAGCTTTATACTTATAAGGTAAGAAGCCCCGGCGTGAAGTACCGCCGCACCCTTGCAAGGACACCAAGTTTCCTTGCAGCTGCTTTGGCTTTGGACTCAATGGACCGCCCATAGTTGAGGTTCGGAGAAAATTCAACCCCTAACAAGCGTACTCCAAGGCTACATTCCGGAAAGTAGGAGCCAAGATGAGCGGACTCCTTTTAGCGGTGAAAAGACACGCTTGTGTTTTAGAGACGTTAAATCTCACGAGATTGGCATAACTCCATTCGGAGAATGCCTGTAGTGTGAGACTCACACGCTCAACTATAGCCTCTCTTTATGACCGGATTTGATCCCAACTGACCCGGGCACTTGGTTGGTATATATATGATGAGTAAGTTGAAGTGGCAATGGGCCGGCTGTATAGCTCGAAGAACCGACAACCACGTACTGGTAAGCGATGTGTAAGGCGGCCTCCTACTACATAAAGTGACAACCTGGTAGGACTCAGAACCGTGTTTTGTGGCATACTTCGGGTAGCTGCGTTCAGCAGTGAACTTGTGATGAGCAGTAATAATGATGATGATGATGATCTTGATAAATATCGAACAAAACTAATTGTAACTCTAATGGATAATTATTTTTATCATATGAAATTTATCTATAGGTTATTTCTATTTGTTTTTATATCAAACCTACGACTGTGTAAAGTTAATTTAAAAAGAAAACGTTGAGACTACCTATGAAAATATACAAACGAAATGACCCTCTCGGACAATTCACGCTTAACATTTGAGATGTATTTTCCAATATCAACGTTCATTTGATTAAAAAACTTGGGACTTGATAGTATCTGCTTTTAAAAGAAAAAAAGAAGAAAACAAAACTGCCACTATGATAGCTTCATAGCTTTAAAGGAGAAATGATCTTAATCTAATTCTTTTTATGTCGAAGTTATATTAAAGAATTATAGTTTTTTTTTAAAACATATTTTGATCCATGAATGCTCCAACGTGTGACTAATAATGGAACTGTGTATTGTATGTTTCTCAGTGTTTTTCGTTCTCTACGTGGTTATTCGTAATTTTTGATAAATATTATATTTGATCTTTTATTTTATTGTTTAACTCTATTTAGTGTGTTATAGGTCACAATGTTTGGAAGACATGTGAATTTCGACAACTTCCATTGGAACAGCGCGGCGGCATTTGATGTTTCGTTTGCAACCGTAATTATAAAAATGTTTATAAAATTTTATTCCTAATTAACATAGTAATAACAAAATGTGTTACTTATTGAATTTCTATTTACTGTTATAATATTACGTAATATTTTTATTATTCAACAAACCACGGTGTTTTGTCAGTTTCACTTATGTTTTAACGTGAAATATTCTAGAAATAAACCATTCAATAGCTTGTAACGTAACGCAAACAATAGGAATAAGGAAACTAATACGACATTTGATCAAAATCTTTAGGGTGTAAACATATTTATTACTACCTACCAGAACATTCTTACATGACGTACCAAATATCAAGAATGGGATATTAAAGCAATTTAATCATAACCAACCAGAGGGCGAATTTCAATTAGTTCTTACATTCAAATTTAATTAGGAAACTAATGAAAATTTATATTTTTAGTTATTTGTTTAGTAGTAAATTTAAGTGTCTGGACAATTTCAATCGCGATTTTATTACAAGGTTTTTATTCGCTATCGTAACATTAACTTCATATTATATTAAAGATTTATTTTCACAGCTCGCACTACAAATTCATATCTATATTGCGAGCTATATACGAGTAGCTCGAAAAAAACAAAAATCGAAGGGGAAGAAAAGTTCTAGTATGCAGGAAGTCGATGGGTTGATGAGTCGATGGGCTGGTAGATTAGGCCCATGTTTTGTGGCATTCCCTGGGAGATGCCTATGTTTGGCAGTAGACTTGTGAAGGCCTGAATGATAAGAATGATGATGAAATATAAATCAATAACTCGGCACGTGGTGGAGGCGTAAGGGAATCATACTTCCATTTCGTAACGTGGTTGTCGTAAGTAGCTACTATGGAAATGTCAGAATGATCTTATGAATACCAGTAGAGAGAAATACGAGTATAACAATATTGTTTACGGCAGACTTAAAATACTCAGACAAAATCAATAATGTATTACTCACTATCAATAATACTGTAGCTCTTAAGCTTACCTGAAGGAATTTCACAATTTTGCACATAAACTCCCCCGCTAGCCATGCGATTGTTATTTTTTGAACAATGTCAACGAACACGTATATTAATCCAACGAACAGATCTGAAATAAAAATATTTTGTTTAATATTTGCACAACACATACTTTTTAAATGACTTCAAAAAAGGAGGAGGTTTTCAATGAGGGTTAATAATTTTACGCTACACCAGATATCGCTAGTTGGTGGAACTAAGGTGAACTTATTTGGTACGCAAATGGTCATACAGAGTAATCATCATTGAAAGTAGTTGTAGTGTACGTATATACGCAAAACAATGCATCACTGTATTTACAAATTCTTTTTATTGTTCTACTTTTAACAATATTAGTAATTTATCGATTTCTAATCTAATTTATACATACATACCACGGGGAGTAGTAGGTCTGTATGTTAATTAAGTAACTAGTTTTAGCTTTTTTATTATAGATTTCAAATATTGTATATAATAAAATATTGTATTTAAATAAAGGGTATTCATATGTATATATATATATATATATATGCATATACATACATACCCTTAAATACCCTATATATATATATATATATATATATATATATATATATATATATATATATATATATATACTATAACTAATACTAGCCGGCCAGGAAGACATCATTTTTTCTTACACCGTAGTGTTCCTGATTAATGTTTCATGGTGAATACAATCGAAGGCTTTGGATAGGTCACAGAATATACCCAAAGCATCTTGTGAATTATCCCATGCATTGAACTTATATCTATTCAGCTCAATACCAGCAGCAGTTGTCGAGCGACCACTTGTTAAACCGAATTGATTTTTATGAAGTAAATTATTTACATTAAAAAAATTAACATTTGATCAAGAATAACTTTTCCAAAAATTTTACAAAGTGTTGGCTATATATGATACTAATATTAAAAATAATAGCTAGATGAGGCCCGATTACATAGAAATCCCAAACAGATCTCCAAATTTCTTAATATCAATAGTTTTAAAATACTTATATTTTGATGATATTTTATGAAATGTAAAATTCTTTGTACGCGCATTTACATTTTGATTTTGACGACGGCAGGAGAAGAATGCAGTGACTTAGTGGTTAAGATCGGAATATAAGTAAAATATTTCTCAATAACCATTGCAACATCCTGGTCTGATTCCGTTAATTTGTTGTTAAAACTTAACCGGTAGTTTGAATTGCGAGAGTTGATCTTACCAGTTTCGCTATTAATTATACTCCATGTCATTTTAATTTTATTAGAACCCGTCTTAATTTTGTCGCTCAAATACAAAGACTTAGTTGTGGAGCACACTATTTTAAATATTTTTTTACATATTCCCTAATTTCGACGCTAGGATTATATGACCTTTCATGGTAATGTTTATTTTACCGTTGTCTACTCTTATGGACTCCTACTGCCCATTCATTGAATGCCGTCCGACTGTTCAAGGAGATTTTTAGAAGTAAAAATATTATCAATTTCATTGCAAATAAGTTTAAACAATGTTCCATACAAAAAATTAGAATCATTTTGGTCTGAAAGTGATGGAACTTTCTGCACTATGTTACTTCTAAACTTCTCCAAGTGACGTGCATTTACTGGAACAAACACAATTTTCTTATCTAATGGCTTTTTGTTAACATAAGGTAACAAAACTAAATGTCCAAAGTGATCGGAACTCAATTCTTTAATTATAAATTTATGCAACGGCTTAACATTTATAAAAATGTTATCTATATATGTTGCACTACAGTCAGTTATACGCGTTGGCTCTAAAAATAAATTAAAAAGGCCATATGATTTAAACAATTATCTAAATTTAATATTGGTGGAATAAGCTTCTAGGAGATTGATATTAAAGTCTCCACATATTATTCTGTTTATTAAGCTTAACAAATGGGGGTTTGTAGACGCTCACAAAAATGAGGTGCTCAAACTCAACACATGCCATTTCTACAGTTTGCTCAACCTACCCGGTTTCTGAAGTTCCTAGTTATCTTCCCATTAGCTATTGATTCAATAAAGTTTTCTATAGGATAAACGTCTGTTAACTGTCACTGCGTTCAGTTATATAAAGGTACTCTGTGACTGCGTTTCTGAATACGCAACGAATCGTTCAACAACTATGAAACCATTAACAAGTACCATAATTTGTCGCTAGATGGGTCTGTTTATGACATCGAGTCTAAAATTGATTTTTTAATTTCATTTCTTCATTTATACTAGTATTATTTATAAAATTTATATTTTTTGAAGCTAAATAAGAGGATATGCACTGTTTTAGTAATAAAATATGATAATTCCATATTTATCAGAAACTGTATGTATTGTCAAATTGTTAAAAAAGAAAACATCACACTCATTGCTTTTATTCGAATGTGGTTTTATTTTTCATAACTTTCTGATTTTAAGTTTAGTGCTTTTTGCATTATCCAAAACATTATGGAATCTGGAAAACGTAGTAAAAATTTTTCTGAAACAGAGAAGAGTACTCGTATTCATTGCACTTCTATTAATAATTATTTTATCCCTTGAATATTTTAGTATTTAGCGCCCGCTGGCAATTTATTTTAATAATAACACGTTATAACCTAAAAGTTGATGTAGTTTGCTTGAAATTAAACGTCAAATAAAGTTATAGATTCGATAAACGGCACATATTGGCCAGTTAAATTAAACGTAGCTTAAACGGAGTTTACCTTACATTGCGTTGTTCGGAAACGCACTTTCACAAGTTATCGAACCAATAGCGCTAACGAATAGATAAACTGCCATTAAAAGTACCTCAGAAACCGCGCATTAATCGCTCATCTAATTCAGTTCATTCGTTTAGATGTTCATCGCGGACAAACAATGTGACACGTAATCTATAGAAATAAATAAAATTGAAGTGTCTGTTTGTAACGTTAAAATTACAGCTTTTTACTAGATGCATATGAAAGTGTGTACGGTACTAATAACAAAAATACAATTTTTAAAGTTTTTCTGTCTGTCTGTCTGTTTGTTACGGCTAATCTCTGAAACGGCTGAACCGATTTTGACGGGACCTCTATTGGCAGGTAGCTGATGTCTCAAAGAGTAACTTAGGCTACTTTTATTTTAGAAAAAGAATGATGGTTCCGCGGAAGAAGAAAATGATAACCCCAAATAACACGCAGGCGAAGTCGCGGGGAACAGCTAGTTTTCATATATATAGGTAAAGATTTTTTAAGAATAATTCCATCCCTAAGGGTGTTAAAACAGTGGATTAAGATATTAATGTAACTACTTAGACATTTTAGGTGTCGATGAACTAAGTCCATTTAAAAGAGTAAAAAAATAGGTACTGATGTTTGAGTTTTTCGATACGCTAAGTCATATAGTACCTATATATATATATATACAATATATACTATATATATATATATATATATATATATATATATATATATATATATATATATATATATATATATATATAATATACTATTCTTTTTGTTTTAAAGTTAGTTTTAACTTTTTAGTTTAATTCCATTGTTTGCATTTGCATTTAAAAAAAAGTTGTTTTACTAATTCATAATTGATTTTACGGGTTGCGAGAATCTAACCCGTGGTCCTAAACATTATCTACGAAAGCCACTGCGTCATCGAACGCCTAAGCTAAATTAATTTTGAAGCAAAGACTAATGCTATGGGCTTATTAATTGTTTGCAATTAATTTAAAACTCTGCGATTGAGCTGGGGAAATATTTTCTAATTATTTCTCTCGCTCGATAGACTTAATTCTTTGCGAGGTTGTAATTTCATTAGCTTGGTACACTTTAATAGACAATAATCATTTTATTCGCATAATGGAGGTGAATGGTCTTCAATAAATATCTGACGAACAGGACACTGAACTATAAAATATTTTCTTGCGTTCAGTCTGTGAACGAGAAAACTGCATAAAGGCAATAAATCTTTAGATTCTTTAAATCTATAGATATATCTGTTATTGACAGCATGCGGTATCAATGGAAATAATTAGTAAAACTATAACACTTTTCCAATCACGCTCAACAAGAACTTCTTTTTTTAAACTCTTTTTATTTTCTGATACCTAAACGTTGTAGATTTTAAATGCACACTATGAATGTTGATCGTTGAATTATCAAATCAATGGGTCGCGTTCACATGAACATATATATATATATGTTCACATGAATATGAAACGAAAGCTAGTGATACCAGTTTCTCGACACCACATAGTCAGTAATTCATACATCTGGTAATGGATACGCTATTGCAATCAAGTCCCAGAAAATATACAAAGTAACTTTTACCAAGTTTAAATATTTTAATAAACAAACACTGCATAAAAAGGTTTAATTAATATAATATAAATGCAAACATTATTGATAATAAACCCTAGGAATGAGGTGATCGCTTTTAAGTTGTTTCTAAAATAAATTACGTAAATAGTTTATACAACCTTTTAGATTGTATAATTTTTTTTAAGAAAAAAGTCCCGCTGGGTTTCTTGCTGGTTATTACCAGGAGAGAGGTTTTTTTCCATATCAGTGGTAAAATAAAAAAAATACTTTTATAAGAATTACATGTAATCTATATTGAATAAAAATTATATTATTCTATTCATGGATTATTTACTAAAGTAAAAGCATACTTTACGTTGTTGCATCTGTTACTGTAAGTTTGGAGCGACTAGACAGAGTGAAGTTGTATTTGCACAATATATTTGTTTGTCGAGACGATGGTTCATAGATATAGGATTCGATATGTAGCGCTGTAGTGAAGTTATTAACAAATACTTTTTTTATAAAACAAAACGACTTTTAATCACAATTTATATTTTTAGAGCCAAAAAAGGAAGTCACGGAACCTGGAACTTATATTGCATAAATGATGATGGCATTGATTTATTTATAAATTTAATTTTTGAATCAAACTCACCGCGCTACCTGTCGGTAAGTTAAGGATTGTTTACTTTTTACCACCCTTCTTAAACCCTTTTTAAATAAATTCCACAGTTGAAGTTTTTCGGACTCAAAACAATATGGCGACGCCATTGTTCAAGTCTAGACAAAACTGCCATCA